AAAAAAAAAAAGGGGGGGGGGGAGGAAAGTTGTGTTAAGAAAGCTTTTTACATCTGGTTTTGTTTTTAGCTCCTGCATGCAATTATGGTGGCTGCAAAGCCAGCCTACCTATTTTTATGCTTTCTACTTCCGAGACAGGAGAAGCTTTTTTGGGTTGGTGGTAAGAAGCTGTCTTTCTCTCAGGAAATTCACCGCTAGGTTGAGTGAAATGTTATGATAAAACAAAAGCAAACGGTGCCTTAGTGTGTAAACACACAAATGGGCTTTTGAGTCACCAAGAAATCAATGGCAGTGCTGGGATAATTTTATGTGAAGGCTTTTTGTGTTAGCAATTAGCATTTCGCCTTCATTAAAACATGATTTTTTACTAATTAGGACCTTTCCCGTTAGGAGAGATTTAAATGAAGAACAATAATCAAACGCTGGCACGAGCATGTCTGAAATATTAAATTTAACATTTCAATGGCAAGCCACAGAAATCCCAGAGCGAGTGGTTTTCATGTTGAGTTCTATTAATGTAAAATATGTTTCATAACTAAAACCTGTCACAGAAAACAGCTCACACCAGCCAAATTCAATTGGACAGTTAATTTAGCTTTAAAATTGAAAACACTACCTCCGCTTCAGGATGCAGAAGGAAGGGGGAGAAAGCCTTTGATAAGCGTAATGTATTTGCTATTAAGGCTTTCAGAGCCCATTCTACAGGAGAAGAAGGGAAAAAAAAAAAGGGGAAAAAATGGCTCCCACAAATGTGTTTAAAAGCTGAAAGTATTTATTAAAAATGTCAGCAGAAAAGTGCTTTTGGCAGATTAAAGCGGGATTCGGCTTGACAGCTCTGACAGGGAAATGTGACGGGGGAAAATTCTCTCTACATGTTTTGAGTGCGAATGGGACGCTGTAAACAGCCTGCACGGTGGGAGGAAGAAAAAAAATAACATGTCCCTGTGATCTGCTTCCAGGATAACGAATGCGAGTGCACTGGAAAGGGAAAGGAGGGGGTTAGGAGCTCTTTCGGCAAATCATCTTTTTGTGTGCTTTGTTTTTGACTGTATGTTGTTAGACAAGAACCGGCTCGCCTTCGCCCCCTCCTTTTTTTTTTTGCTGTTCTCTTTACCCCTCCCCTTGGCTATTCATGGCAAGTGTGTGACCATTTTTGACAAGTGTGTGACCTGAGGCATCTGGAAGTATGGATGCTGATCAGTACAGCTGGGGGGGGGGCGGGGGGGGGTCATAAAAGATTCAGATCTACCAGTTCGAGCCACACTACTTGCAGAATTTTCTTGGTAAGCCAGTGGCACAGCCTTTTTCTCCACCCTCCCTTAGCCCACGTAATTATAGGCCCGGTAAGAGTTGAGTTTCATTGGGTATCTAACTTTCTTCAAGATAGTTACTTCCCCAGTGAAATTCAGCCAGAACGGAGATCCAGTTCTTGGAGGTTGCCAGCGGGCTGGAGCACCCACTAGGAC